TTACACGTTTAATTTATATATTTAACATAAAAATTAGATTATATTAATTTTAATGTGAAATTTAATTATAGAAGAGAAGAAAGTTTGAGTAAGTTACAGTGGGATTCTTTTCTTCTAAACATAAAATAAATAAAATTTTAAGCCACCCTTTTCAATTGCAGAGGTCGTGTCCCCAGTGGCAGAGGTGTTGGAAAATGCTTTATGAGTCTTGCGTTCGAAGCCTGCAGGTGACAACTTAATGGGAAATTTTCCAAAGGATTTAAACCGTCCGGTTGAACGGTTTAACGGTTTGTACCGGTCCGAACGGTTTCATCGGTTTTAAACGGTTCAACCGCTTCACCGGTTTTAAACCTTAACCTGAACCGTTTATTGTACCGGGTACCGGTCTGACCGGTTCAACCGACCGGTCCGGTCTGGTTTTTAAAACATTGGTTACTAGTGTATTAGCCTGCATCAACATGCAGGGTGTTGCTTATTTTGATTGTTTATTCTGGATGGTTTTTGGGAATTTGTTTATGCTGGTCTATACCATTCATGTTAGATGAATAAATGTGAAGTTTTGAATGAGTGTTTTAGTCCTACACAACTTGAGATGTGTTGATAAGCTTCTCCAATTTATTTTCCCAATTATAAGCTTCAAAAAGATGATTGACGGCGTTTCTGAAAGATTGGAAACTGGACTTTCTAGTCGCCCTTTTGTAAAGATCTCTATAAACTACTTTATTTCTGCCTATTGGTTTATGAATGACAATATCTTGTGACCTTGATAGATATATTTCTTTATGTATCTAAGTTGATTATGAGGTAGAGTGCTGCTATTTTGAAAGTTTAGAAATTTAAGTTTTGATGATTGACTTTTAGTTTTGTTTTGATATTTGAGCATCAATTTTTTTAATGTTGATATTGGAAATTATTGTGCAGGGATTAACGTGGCTACTTCCTGAACGGTTTTCTACTTCTGAGATAGGACCAGAAGCAGGTTTTGTGATATTTGGGTAACACTTAGCTACTTCTTGTTCACGTAGAAATCTTTGATAAAATTTTCCTTTCTTCTTACAACCGATCATCTGATTGGTTGTTAAGAAATTAGAGGAAAGAAAATAAAATTAACATGTTATATGTTATCATTTCAATAGCTTTTCATCGCTTTTTGCTTGATTGGTTCTGTTATTGAGTCTGTTAGAGTCAGGTACTCTTTGCTTGCCTTTTACCAATAAAAAGGACTGATAATGGTTTTTTTTTTTTTGTCATATCTTTCCGCCCCTGATCATTATATTTTATTTAAGGTATCCTGAGATGGTTTTTTTTTTCTCTTTTCTTTTCTTTTCTTTTCTTTTTTTATTTTTATTTTTGAATTTCCTTTTCAGTAACTACGGTTTTAGGCATAATCACTGCCAATGTTTTCAAAACCGGACCGGTTATTGAACCGTTTTTAGGTTTGGTTCTCGGTTTGACCGGTTCAACCGGTTGAACCGGTGAACCGGCTGGTTCAAACAATAAGGAAGGTTTGATGAGAAGAGCAAGCTATAGGCATGGATTTTTTTATTTGGTGTTGATAATTTTGTAATTTTGTTAAAGTTAAAGGTTAAAATGGGTATAAGAAAGGAATGGGAAGGGTGAAATTGGAAAAAATTGAAAGAAGATTGCATGAGAAATTGAACCGGTGATTTTTCTGATTCCACCGGTTCTACCGGTTTTTACCGGTTTTACCGATTTTGACCGGTTTTGACCGGTTTTGACCGGTTTTGACCGGTTTTGATCTCAAACGGTTTTCTTATATGAACCGAACCGTTTATCACCGGATACCGGTCCGACCGGTTCAACCGGCCGGTCCGGTCCGGTTTTAAAAACCTTGCTGCTGCCCTTCATCATCTACAGTGTAAAAGCAAAAACCGAATTTAATTTTTAATAATCAAGCCAATCTCTTTTAATGACCAGCGCCATGTCATTGCGCCGGCGAACCTTGCTCAAGGTCATCGTCCTCGGCGACAGTGGGTACGTACGTACGTTTCCTTCCATTCTAGGGTTTTCAATCTCACATTTTTCTTCGTTTCATATGATATGTCGGATTTATATTTACGTACTGATGTCAATGTCAGGGTGGGCAAGACGTCGTTGATGAATCAGTATCCTCGACAATTTTTTTTATTGTTTTTTGTTATTTACGTTTTAGATTTCAAGCGATCCTTTGGAATTGTTGAAATGATTAGTATTGTGGGTGATGTTCTTTTTGAAATTCTGATTTTTCTGTTTTTGGGTATTGAATCTTGATCTGGGTGTGCTGCTTCATTGTTTTTGTTGTTAATCTTCACTTGGTAGATGCCAATTTTGCTAGAATTAAATTGGGTTGGATGTACTTAATTTTTTTTTTCTCCCATTTTGGACTGTTGTTAGATGTAGACGTTTACTTTTTCCCTAGATATGTTCACAAGAAGTTTAGTCAGCAGTATAAAGCTACGATTGGTGCCGATTTTGTCACTAAGGAACTCCAGATTGATGACCGGCTGGTCACTCAACAAGTGGGTTTTCTAGTTCAATGGTCTTAGACGTGTTTTCTTGCCTAGTTTTTGGGGGTTTTTCGGAGGATGGGTTGTGCTAACTTTGTTTTTGTTTTGGGTTGGTTAGATATGGGACACAGCTGGGCAGGAACGATTTCAGAGCCTTGGGGTTGCATTTTACAGGGGGGCAGATTGCTGTGTGCTAGTTTATGATGTCAATGTGATGAGGTCGTTTGATACTCTTGATAACTGGCATGAGGAGTTTCTTAAACAGGTTTCTGGATGCACCTCTAGATTCCTTTTCCAGTTATGTTTTGCACTTTAAGTTGCATTTATGCAATAGTTTGGACGTGGTAGAATTGTTTGTTGCAGCATCAACATGACCATAAAAACATGAAAAAGTGTGAACAGTTGGCTTTTATTTATCTTCATTACTCTTGGTAGCTTGAGTTATTACTGAACTATTCTTTTTGGTCTGAAAATTGGTAGCTTTCTGTCCATTAAATATAGCTGTTTGTCTTCTCATAACTTGCTATCCTTGCACTAGGACACAACTCCTTCTACAAGTTTCCTTTTTGAAACATCAGGAGTTTGCTTTTATTATTATAATATGGCATGGCAAATTTCAAGTTAATCAGATATATAAAAGCATTCCATATTTGCAAGTCTTTAAGCTAAACTTTCATTTTCTTATTAAGAGTGGTATAAGAGTTGTAATCTCACAGCAAGTATCAGCAGTCTGTTTCCGTTCTGAAAATTTCTACCTCATCTTCTCAGTGACTTTCTGAAATTTTACCATTGTTGTCTGGTTAATATGGTCCTACACCTTATTCGTTAACAGAGAAAAGACTGCTTGTAATATAATTATTGAAAGAGGGACTTTACTTAGTTCAGACATTTCTGATTTTTTGATTTTTAATCTCTCATCAATTTGGTTTTGTAACCTCTTGTCTAGGGAAGAAATTTTGCAGTTTAGTCTAGTAAGCTATGTTTCAGTTGCTTTAACATTTAACAATTTGATTTACATCATGTCACAAAATAACGTCATTGTACCTAATCATCAAGTTACAGAAAAAATGTTTCACTTGCTTGGATAAACCTATAAGGAAATTCCATCCTGCTCTCTGACCTGTTCTCTGGATTTTTTCTATTTTAATCCTAATAATGCAGCAGTATAATCTGGGTCTAAGTTTGATCATTTTATACTTTATGGGTAATTGGGTATAAATTTCAATTTTTTAATCCATTTTCCTATGTTTAAATTAAATTTCCCTATGTACCCGTGTACTCAGTAGTCAGTACTCTATGCCCTACCAAGAATATAGACTGGCATATTCCTGGTCTGTATTCATGTATCTGTCCTGAGTTTGGAAATATTCCCTGCTTCGTCAAATTGCCTTTTTTCATATTTTGATTAATGTTTTCTTGGGAACATGGACATGGAAGCCTTTTTTGACCATATATGCTTTCAAAATCTTGCAATAGTGTTCAAATTGTTTTTGGCTTCTTTGTGCTTATGAAATATATTTTTTAGCCAATTTTTTAAATTCATACTTTGTGGTTGGGCAAATCACCACTTCTGGATTGTGTTCTTTTTCCTGTGGATGTGTTTGTGACCCCACTCATTGCGCCGTCATTATTTGATCTTCGTGCTATATCAGTTTCATGTTTATTTTGGGTTATTTACATTTAATGAACTTCTTTTCCAAATCCACCAAATTTATGAAAGTGTCAAATATATGAATTGTTGTGAATTTGGTTTGGCTCAATGATTGTCTTTGTCCACTAGATTGAGCTACACAATCTCAAACTAACTTTTTTTGTTCTCCAACTTCATTCTTTTGATCATTTTTTGTTGTCTTAACCCATATCTTTTGATAGTGAATGACTTAGTGCAGACATGAGAGCTGTAAGTTCAGTCCTAATTATGTATAATAAATTATACAACACCCCTTTTATTTTTTAATCAGCATCTACAACACCACTTTATTTTGCTTCATGGAAGCAGTGAAGATTTGACTTTCAGGCCTTTAGTGGTCTAGTGAATCATGCTGGCATTTTGCTGGTGAAGATTTCAAGCACAACTACCTGCCCTCCAGTTTTCAATTTTGCATGATTATTCTCTTTAGCCATTTTCTCTTCTTCATTGCTAGTTGGTTGCCTAACTTGAGCTCTTTTTTATTTTTTTATTTTTTTTTAATGACATGGTTTCTTTCTCATTGCATGCTAGGCAAATCCAGCTGACCCCAGAACATTTCCTTTTATATTGCTGGGCAACAAGATTGATATAGATGGTGGAAATAGTCGAGTGGTAAGGACATACAGCTTTTATTCTCGCTAAACGTCTTTGGTTTTAACAGAACTATCTAATGTATGGCTTGAGTCATGTAGGTTTCTGAGAAGAAAGCAAAAGATTGGTGTGCTTCAAAAGGCAACATACCTTATTTTGAAACATCAGCAAAAGAAGATTACAATGTTGATGCTGCATTTCTGTGTATTGCCAAAACAGCTCTAGCAAATGAGCATGAGCAGGACATGTAAGTTCACCATGAGGACCTATCCTTTCCTGGTTTGAGTGCGTTTGGAAAATATTTACCACTGTTTCAATGCAATATCATAGGCAGAGAGATGGGTTTTCCAGGCCTGGTTGATTCCTAAGATGACCATATTCTATTAGGTTTTACCTGCAGAACAGTGAACCTTAGTCTGTTTGGGGTTATTTCTATAGTTAAGAAGTGTAAAGTTGCCATTGAATAGTTAAGTGCTTTGTTAGCAGATCATTTGGATTTCTGTATTGTTTTTACCATAGAGCTATAAACTTTTAGTTTGTTTATAGGCCATTCTATTGTTGATAAATAGAAAATTGTGATGAGTGTTTTAAGCAACTTGTTAGTGGAACATTTATCATTTCCGCGACATTCAGAATATGAGCTTGATAAGACTATCATTAGTCAAGAAATATTTTAGAAGCATCCAGTGATTTGCATAGGCAAATGTCTACAAATCAAATTCATGATGTAAAAACTAAATAACCAGCTATACGTTTAAGAAAAGCTATTCTATCCGTATTCCAAACTCTGTATTTCTTTAGTTATTATTAAATGTGGATTTGTGGAGTGGCTCACTTAAATATCTGTTCACCAGTGTGTTATGGATGGATAGATGTCAAATGATCTTCAATTTAGTTGGTTGTCTTGTGTTATATTTTCATTTCCTGAGGAATTAGATCCTGTGAATGTTGTCTTTTTTTTTTTTTTGCAAATTCCTTGATGTTATAGCTATATGAGCTTAACTAACTTGCATAATGTGTGTGATTTGAGTGTGAAGGAAAATAAAATGGTTCATGTTCTCTGATATCTTGACTGGAAATGCTGCTTAGATTCTCTTTTCCAGTCCCCTGTTCCCATTTCTTTTGAATTCGAAGTTTCTTATTTATCTGTTCTCTGTTGAAGAGTAGTAGTTATTGATCTCAGTCCATCTTTGGATTGTTTAATTTTCTTTGCACAAGCATGGGTAATTTTTAAGTGTGTGTGTCTTTTAACCATTTCCTGGATGCTTTTCTGTGTGCATCACTGCATCTGTAAGCATACTCTCCTCTTTCACATATTCCATTTCTTCCAAATTGTTTTATGCCTTATTCTTTACCTGTTTAACCTCAAGTAGACTAGCAGTTTGAGATCCATCTTAATACTTCAAACTTATTGTCTTCAACGTTCCCTGCATTATCCAGTTTTGTTTTACCACTACAAATTTATTATCTTAGGCTGCATCACAACATTAGTTTTTCATCATTCTTGATTGAATTGCTTCCTATGCCATGCGCCAAGCAATTAATGTCCTTTCACTATGATTACTTCCATTTGTAATTGCAGATATTTCCAAGGTATCCCAGAGGCTGTTTCTGAGACCGAGCAAAGAGGTGGTTGTTCGTGCTGATTTTTGAGCCACTGTTAAAGTTGTTCTAAGTCTTATGCTTTATCTTTCTTTGCCCCGAATCCACAGCCATTTTTTGTATACTGTGGTGGTTAGGGATGCTTGCCGAGTTCTTCTTCCTAACTTGGTAGGATGAAAGCTTTTTGAATCAAAATTTATAGAACCCCACTCAGTTGTCTTCTCGTTCTTGTTAGTATTTGTTAATTGGATGCACCTCTTGGGTTGTCATTGGAATCAGCATTGAGCCATAAATTTAACAGGCTTGTTATTTTATGAGATTGAAATGGGCAATGACTCAATGAGGATGTTTCTCTTATGATGTCCTCTGCTTATTTATGCAGAAGACCTTTGAAATTCTAGATAAATTGATTGTTTGAGATTTGGGGAAATGTTGGAATGAGTACCTCTGTTGCTGTTTAAACTATATATTAAATTGTCAAAAAGAAGCTTTGAATGAGCAAAGAGACCCCCACTTTTAGTAGTCTTTTTTTGTTTTTTTAAATATATTTAATTACGTACAATATGAAAAGAAATAGTTTTCTCTATTTTCAAATTTCTTTTCACTTGACATAAAATTAAAATTTGAGATTTTTATTTCAAAGTTTTAAATTTTTAATTATTGAATCACATTTTTTAAGATTTTTAGTGACTTTTTTATGATGTCAACTAATTTTTTTAATCTTTAATTATATAATAAAAGATAATTTTCTTTTACTTAACTTTTCTATCAACATCTATTAACAAACCACACAACTTCATCTTAGGATTTTTTATTTTTAATAAATTGGCATTTTTTATTTTTAATAAAAGGTTAGTATTAAGCCAAACCTAACCTAATCTTAAATTAAGTTTACAAGATAAAACTTACTTATTATAACAGTATCAAATTAGCCTTATTTGTGACTATTATTATTATTATTTTGATGAAGTGATTTTTTTTTGAAAGACTAAAAACAAATATGTTTGAAAATATTTTTTTAAAGAAAAACTAGAATAGCAAATAGTATAAACTGTTTTTCAATTCAAACTTAAAAAAAAAAAGTGTTGTTTGAATTATGAAAATGTTAAAACACCTCTAATAAATTTAAATTAATAAGAGTGTTTAAATACTTTCGTAGCTGCGCCTTAAACACATGACCTAATAGTTATAAATCATCTTATAAAGTGCAATCCCTAACTTAAGGATTGCATTCGAATCCCCTTACCGTCAAATGGTAAACCTACTAAAATAAAAATAAAAAAACTTTCGTAGCCGTTGGTCCATACCACATGCAATCCGGCCTGCAAAATATTTTCTGCGTCAAAGTAACAGTAAGCAACCAAACGGTACCGCAGTTGTCACAAGATTTTCCAGGGACAGAGCTTTGATTCCTGAAACCCCACCTCAGAATCTCAGGACACGACAGCAGATGGCCAAACCATCACCAAAAAAAATAATAATAATAAAGGAAGTTGACTGTTGGCTCATTGCAAATTTAACAATGTCAGAAGCTTCCAAGTACTAGCGTAGGTCCAACTGCTCCTGTAATCTCTTTCCCGACTTTAATCCCCTTGTTTTTCAGTTGATTATGAAATCAAAGATTTTTTGGGATTTTTGTGATTGTCGTGTTGCTTGCTGTTTGGGTTAGTCTAGAGCATAAAATTAAATGGACTACAGTACACTTCACTGTGAAACATATCTTAGTTTTCTGCTTCTTTGGGGAATACTTGGACTTGATAGGTTCAATAATGGGTGGTGGTTCACATACAGGCATGTTAAGAGGGGTTCTCTCATTGTTGTTTCTGGGGTTCCTCCTTTCTTAACTATTAGGACAGTCTTCATCCCCCAACTGTAATGCCTTTCCAATTGAGAGTGCCACAGCCATACCCCTGCACAAAATCATCCATTTTCAATCAAGTTACTTTTGTGCTTTAGCTTAAATTAAATCCATTAGATAATTGTGGTAGAGAACATACGAGGATTTGTTGCGTAGAATCTAACTGCAAGCCATCCATCTCTTGGTAATGCTTTCAGGATTTGTTGCGTCTCCAGAATCATTGAACAAATTTTCGTTCTGAGCAGCTGTAATGAACATACGGGTAGTTCTGTTTTTTGGGACATCTTGGGGGACCAGGCTCCTCAAGTTGTTTCTAAAGCTTATTGCCACATTGTAGTCTGCTTAGGCTGGAAGGGTAGGATAATAAGGTGATGAAGGGGGAAAGTAATCGCCACTGTACTGGAGAATTGCGGTAACATTTACTGTCATATTCTGTGAAAATGGCTTTATCAGTGTAGTATCGTCTAGCAGCCATGTAATAGTGACCAAAGGACTGGTTTGCTGTGAACGGGACATCCATTGTTTGTCCAGGGCCTATCACAACATGGCTAGAGACGAAGGGTTTTAGGTATGCTGCATCGGTGCTGACAATTGTAAGGTTGTGTCCAGCTATTGCAAAGAACATTTCTGCATTCATGACTGCATTGATTATGCGTAGAAGGTAAGTCTTGCCATATTCAACTGTAAATCGGTGGGAACAAAGAACAGTCATAATCAGATTTGTTATATATAGATACAGAGGTTCTTCTGATCATTCCCAGTATTTGGTATCTTTTGGATCCATCAAACTCTGCTCTTAATTAACCTGATAAATGGTAGGATGAAGAACAATAGCACATCTGGTTTTAAAATGGAAGAACAAAGAACTGGAAATGATACTTACGCTACTATTTCAAAATATGTTATCTTCTATATCTTGGCTAACAACCCTATACCTTTTGAGCATGCACAAAAATCTCCTGGTTGACCATTGCTCGTGTAAGCATCAGAGATGGGCAAGTCTCCCCCATTTAAAAGGGTTTCTGCCACCAACAGGTTCACATCATAGGCGTACCAAGATCCTGCAAGGGCAATAGAATTTGGCCGGTTAGCATTATGACAAACTTGTTCAAACCATAAGGACAACAGGTTTCTTTTAATCCCCTTTGTATTTATCAGTTAGTATGTCGGATTTGTGATTCAAACTGGTTTAAAGCCGCTTCTTTGCTACTGAAAGTAACTGAGATTTCTTTGCAAACCTAGAATGATGATTTCTCACCATCAGGTTCAGGGTAGGGCGAAGAGGCTTCTTTCGAAGGGTAAATGACTATGGCACCATGAACGGTGTTTCGAGTCCAGTCACTGTGAGCATGCCACCAAAGGGTGCCCTCCTCATCAGAAAATATGACCTCATATGTGAAGTTTGTCCTTGGTAGAACTGGGCACTGCGTCACATACTCTGGACCATCTGACCACGGATTTCTTGGCTGCTTCACTCCATGCCTGCAAAAACAACATTGTAATGTCCCTCTTTAGAATCTTCTTTCAAGTTTTTTTAAGGTGGTTCAGGATAGGCTACCAATGAAGGGTCACACCATAATTTCCTTCATTATGGACATTAACAAACACAGTATCACCCTGTGAACATAGATGGTCTGCCCTGGAAACTGGTTATTTACTACTAACATGCTCTTTGCTTCGCCCAGTCTCGTGTAATTTTTCTCCCTCAGCTGGGGCCACAAAAGAGAGAGTGAACAACCTAGAAGCATTACATGGACAACAAAACAGGAAGCAATCAAGGGAGATGTTCCCTTGGAGAACTTACATAAAAATCATAGTAATGAACATCCCCTTGAGCCGAGAACAACAGCATCTTAAGAAGCAGAAGCACAGAGAAGGCAACCATTTGCGGGAGCTTCGTTTTGGTAAGAACACTCTAGGGGACACACTGCTACAATTTGAAGTGGGAAAAACTTAGGGCTCCCTTCTTATATATACAAATGCTTTTTGTGTGGATGACTTCTAGGTAAAGGGTGTGATTATTGTTACTATCAAAATTGTTAAGATTATTAAATTTTTATTTTATTTTTTAAACAAAATATTAATTTGTTAACTAATAAATATTAGTTATTTTATTAATTATTAATTAATAGTTATAGTTATTGATCATTTTTACTAGTCAAATTAAATAAAATTAACATTTTGAAATATAATAGTTTATAATTTTGATGGTCATAACACTATTATTAGTGACCATAACTATGACCCTAAGCAGAAACATCTTGTTGACATGTATCTTTTAATAGTCTTTATCTTTATTTATGGATTTTTCTAATTTATGTAGGTTAAAGGTGTATTTAATGCACTTTTTAGCCATTCATTTATATAAAAAAACAAAAAAAGGTGATATTAATTTTAATATCAATACTACGTATATTAATTTAATTAGTTAATTATTAAAATTAAAATCAAATTTTGTTTTTTTATATAATTTAATAGCTTAAAGATACATTAATTATATTTTTAATTTGTATAAAAAAAACCCTTTATTTATAATATAAAAATACCACCAATAAAAATAACTAAGTTCGTAGTTATTAATTTAAAATTTTTAATTCAAATTTAGGATAAAAGATTTAAATATCTACTTGTTAAACAAGTAATTTTTTCGGTGTATAAAAAAAATAATATACAAATGCCCTTTTCCATTGCATTTGCATGTGCATGTGATGACTTTTAATTGAATTAGGTGAAGACATCTTGTTGGCTTGTCTTTTTGTCATTGCTTGCACGGCGTCCATTATTATTATCCGAAGCTTTGAACTGGTTTTACAAATCAATGATTGGTTCCCAAACTTTAATGTCTAGATTTAAGTGATTTGGACTTTGGCTCCTACTAATAATTTGAAAAAAATATTTCATTTTTCAAAATTTTCCCATGTAAAAAAAAAAAAAAAAAACTAACTAAACTGAGGGAAATGTTTATTGTACGGAAGTTGTGAGGCTGATATTTTTCCTGATCCTCGGAAACTTGGAAAAGAAGAGATCCTTATAACATCGGTGCGTAATTGTACGGAAGCAGAACTCAACTCACATGTATTATTCAAAGCTATCATGTGCTGATTTCTAGTTGGGTTAGGCGAAGACATTTCGTTGACTTGTCTTTTTTAGTGATTGTTTGCACAGCTTCGATTCTCTTTGCAATAAATGCTGAAAATTAATATGCGACTCAACTAAAATGTATTATTCAAAGCTTTCAATTAAACTGAGGGATATGTTTGTTCTATTATTCAAACCTTTCAATTAAACTAGGAAAAGAAGCAGTACTTTTAATGTCTCTTATAATTGGTCCACCCTATAGCAAACAATCTGGCAAAGCAGGAGATACGTCTCGCAAACTTGATCTTAAGAAGGCTTATGATAAGTTTCAATAGAGTTTTCTTAATGAAGCCCTTATTCTCATTAAATTTCCCTTAGACATCGTCCGGATCATCATGTCTGCTATTAGTTTCACCTCCATTTCTATTCTCATCAATGGTGGCAAAACAGAGGAATTCTTACCTTCTAGAGGTATTCATCATGTCTGCTATTAGTTTCAGCTCCATTTCTATCTGAGTACCTTTCCTGCGTATAATGGCTAATATAGATATGGGACTTTGGAAAGGCTGTAAAGCGTGGATGATATCATATTCACTGGCAAGGCCACCGTATCCAATTGTGTTCATCTCAAGGCTGTCTTGGAGTTCTTTTGCACTAGATCGAAATCTAAAATCTCAAGAATGTGGACCAAGATATTAGGGAAAACCTATGATATCCTCGGTTATTCCCAAGCAAAAGATTTGGGAAATAGAATACTTGGGTATCCCTATCTAAGATGGGCTATTTTATGATGATTCAAGAGTATTATTAACAATCATTGTATAAAATCATATAAAGTTAAGTAATATATTAGAAAATGATATGCACGGATGTTAAAATGAGAAATAAGGGAAGGGGAAAAAAATTATACCATCATATTGGCTATCAAAGTATTTTTGACTATCTATTTACCAAGTATTAAATATAGGAAAAGAAGGCCATTGTGGATAAATTAGGCAAATATTTGTTAATAAATCAATAAAAAAATAGAGTTTTGAAATTTATAAAATGAAATTACTTGTTAATAAGAATATAAAAATAATTATATGAGGGATGAAAGAAACAAATTGAGTTGAGAGAGTAAGGAAGAAATAGTGAAAATTAGAAAGTGAGAAAGGTGTATATATAATTGCTTTGCTTAAGTGTCGGTCGATGAGCTTATTTCAACGACATATTTTTTGTTGTTGATATAATGATTACAATTATTACTGACATAGATCACATCGATAAATCTCAATTTCACCCACATACTAAGTATGTTACTGATAATTGCTTGCTAAAAATATAATTGTTGGTCAATGAATAACAACAAGGTGGGCCTTGTAGATAATGTATAAAATTAGCAATAAGGAATATGTTGGTAAATCTTCAACTAACTAGAAAATTGTAGTAAGGTATAACATGCTAATGTTTGTTTCAGCCAAAGTTGTCAATACCATACCAACATACATACTAGTTTTGCTACTAGAACGGTACGTATCGGGTATCAGAATTTTTTATGTATCATTTCGGATTTATTGCTATAAATATATATTTTTATAAATTTAATATCAAATTTTAAAATAATGATAAGAGAAACTAATTTTTAAAACCATCATATTCATATAAATTGAAAACAAGTTTAAAATAACTAATTTTATAAAACATCCATAATTTTTTCTCCTTTTTTTAATATTAAGATAATATTAGAAAGTATAACAATGTTCTAAGTTTAATATTATACAAAACATTAACTTTGAATTGATTAAAAAAATGCAATTTTCATAGTTTATGGACTAAAAAAATACATGAAAAAGTTAAAGGATGAAAATTATACAAAATATTAAAGTTAAAGACAAAAATGAAATTTACCTTTTTGAATTTGAATTCATTTATGCATATCCATTTTCGGTGTACTCGTTGGTACACCGAAATACTAGCCAGTACATCAAAATTTGACCAAAACAGGTGAAATTTGACCGAAACAAAATTAAACCTTATATCATTTCGATTTAAAGAAAAAACTAGTATGTACTAACCGTACCAATTAGTACAGTACGAAATTGACAACAATGGTTTCAGTAACATATCCTTTGTTGGGTATGTTGTTGATTGTGAGACCCACTTTTAATTGGAAAGATGTATTGTGCAAGCATCAGCAACATATTCTTTGTTGGTAAAAAATACTATCACTAACAAAGTAAGTTATGTTGTTGATAATTAGTTGCTAAAAATGAGAATTTTAGTAGTGTTAACCGAGTTTTGGGGACTTTGATGAAGACAAAAGACTAATTTTCCCATACTATAGTATATGAAGACATGTTTTTATAGGAAATAAAAGTTGTATTATAATAATGAAATCATGATTGATAGGAATCTTTATATCACAATTCCTATATCCAAAGTAGAAATATATTTTATAGTTTGACAATATTATAGTAATAATTTCATATAAAATTGTAAGTTTATAATCATGACATGGTACTAAACGAATATGATATAACATTAAATGACTAGATGTATACAATATCATAAGTGAACTCTTAAATGAAAAAAATTAATAATATAACGATACAACATGTTATAAGTTTTTAATGTTACATGATATTATAATTATATCATTTTCATTTACAATATTAGATAATGATTATTATACCTACAAATATAAACAATTAATTACAAAGAGTCATATATACTTAGATATCTTATCTTAACTATATATATAAATTAGTGTAACAACAAAAGTCTTCCTAAAATTCTTAAATAAAGACCATTAGATTTTTTTATAAAAAAAAATCCTCAATAAATATTAAATGGGCTTAAAAAATCCTCAATAAATACCTAATGAACTTTAAAAAAAAATAGAATTCAAATCTTTTAAAAAACACAATTCAATTCTCATTTAGTTTTGGAAAGTTGATGTTTAAGGAAATTACTATTCTCCCTCCATTTATGTTTAGTATTGTTAATTTAACTTTTTGACCTTTCTAACATAGAATTTTAGATGAAAATTTAACAATTTATACTAACAACAATTGAAAGTATTTTTTTCCTACATAAAGTTCTTATCAAGTATTTTTATTTGATTAAAAAAATTAATTATCATTTATATGATAGGTTAAATTTTCATATGAAATTCATGTTAAAAAGTCAAAGTTAAACTAGATTTACTAAAAGTGAACTGAGAGAGTAATATATAATAGAAAATCAACTACTACAATTCAACCCTGAATAGAAAATTAAATAGTCTAATTATATCAAAAATATTTTTCATTAATTACTACAATTTACTCTATAAAATCATAATTAGATAATAGGAATTTGATTAAAAACTCAATTATCATTTATATAATATATTAAATTTTCATCTAAAATTCATGTTTGAAAAATTAAAAAATCAAATTAAATCTACTAAAAATGAAAAAATGAAGTAATATATAATAGGAAATTGACGGTTACAATTCAACCCTGAATAGAAAATTAAATAGTTTAATTATATCAAAAATATTTTTCATTAATTACTAAAATTTACTCTATAAATATCATAATTATATAATAAGAATATGGGATCCACATTAATTATAAAATACTAACTACTGTAATGTTTTTTTTTTTTTTTTGTACTAACCCTTGGTATCCAGAAATCACAATGCATCTTAATTAATCCGAAAATGACATACGTCAAATCCATAAAAGAGAAACTCTCTTAGTGTC